TGTTTCGAGCACACGGTTTTGCTTTCACACGATGATTTTCTAGATTGCAGATACATTACATGAGACTGTTAGAGAGCAATGCTACTACTGACGCTCCATACACCCCCTTTAAAAAAATCACTTGATATTTATCTTCACATTATAAAAAAAAATATCAAAGTTGAAATTAAAAAAAATAAATAAAATGGACAGATAACAGGAAAAAAAAAAATGAAACCAAATCATTTAGCTACATAAAGCGGTCTAATGGATCATTTTCTTCCCTAGCCTGAGAAAGCACTAACAGACCACTAACTGCAGGGGCCCCCAGGATAACTTCCAAAGGGCGACCCATGTGGCCCCTGGACTACAGGTTGAACGCTGGACCCTTACAGAGACCCTTCTGGTGACCACAGCTCAATGACAGCACTGCGATGCTCAGAAAGTGGAGATCACTTCTATAGCTGCTGGAGGTGCTTCCTCATCCATCCTTTGGGTCTACGGTGGGGGTGTCAAACTGTCGGCCCTCCAGCTGTTGTGAAAAACTACAAGTCCCATCATGCCTCTGCCCTTGGGAGTCATGCTTGCAATGGTCAGCCGTGCAATGCCTCATGGGACTTGTAGTTCTGAAACACAGGGGTGTCAAACTGGCGACCCTCCAGCTGTTGCGAAAACTACAAGTCCCATAATTGTCAATTTTGCAATGCCTCATGGGACTTGTAGTTCTGAAACACCTTTCCGCAGGGGTGTCAACAGGCGGCCATCCAGCTGTTGCCAAACTACAAGTCCCATCATGCCTCTGCCTTTGGGAGTCATGCTTGTAATGGTCAGCCGTGCAATGCCTCATGGGACTTGTAGTTCTGAAACACAGGGGTGTCAAACTGGCGGCCCTCCAGCTGTTGCAAAAACTTCAGGTCCCATCATGCCTCTGCCTTTGGGAGTCATGCTTGTAATGGTCAGCCGTGCAATGCCTCATGGGACTTGTAGTTCTGAAACACAGGGGTGTCAACAGGCGACCCTCCAGTTGTTGAAAAACTACAAGTCCCATCATGCCTCTGACTTTAGGAGTCATGCTTGTAATGGTCAGCCGTGCAATTCCTCATGGGACTTGTAGTTCTGAAACACAGGGGTGTCAAACTGGAGGCTCTCCAGCTGTTGCGAAAAACTACAAGTCCCATCACGCCTCTGCCTTTGGGAGTCATGCTTGTAATGGTCAGCCGTGCAATTCCTCATGGGACTTGTAGTTCTGAAACACAGGGGTGTCAAACTGGAGGCCCTCCAGCTGTTGCGAAAAACTACAAGTCCCATCACGCCTCTGCCTTTGGGAGTCATGCTTGTAACTGTCTATCTTGCAATGCCTCATGGGATTTGTAGTTTGGCAACAGCTGGAGGGCCACCAGTTTGACACCTGTGGTCTACAGGGTGACATTAGGGTGGACAAACCTCATCACTTATACAAATCCCCTTACAGTCTTGAGGGTTTTTTGTTATTTTACAAAAATAGCAGAAATTAAACTTTAAACAGTGGCAAACCAAAGACATTTAGGTGCACCATTGTTCCCACCCAAGACACCGATATCCCCCAATAGTGAGGACCAGGGGCGGACTGACCATTCGAGCACTCGGACACTGCCCGAGGGCCCGGGGTCAGTAGGGGGCCCCATGAGATGCCCCTGGTACCTTTCATTGGCCTTTTTGGTGTGGGCAAGGACACAGGGGCCCCATGATCCCCTATTTCCCGGTGGGGCCCCATGAGTTGTCAGTCCGCCCCTGGTGAGGACCCTTGTAGGGTAATCTCGTGGATGCGGAAAAAATAACTGTAAGGAACGGAGCCATGTTTTGTTTTTGTCATGAGAAACATCAAAATACATCAACAAATTCTAATGTATTATTTACAGCTGAACTTTCATTTAACTCCCTAAGGAGCTGTTGAGATGTCTGGTCCTCCTGCCACTACCAGTGATGACCTGTAGCCATACCCAACAATCACCGACACACCAGGTGTAAAGAAACTGAATTTTTACGACCTGGAAAAGCTCCGACATGGAAGAAATTGTTTCACAGACTCGGCAATGACAGTACTGATCAATAGAAAAAAATAAACATCAGTTGTGCATACTGCTGAACTATCGTATGGACTTCTCTTGAATGGGCCGGTAGAGTTTTGGTCATCAAACCTCAGGAAAGATGTTGTTGAATTAGAAATGCAATAAAATGAATAGGGGTGATGGGGGAGTTCAGCTATGGAGAATGGAGGGGCTTAGCTATGGAGGATGGAGGACATCAGCTATGAAGGATGGAGATGCTCAACTATGGAGGATGGAGATGCTCTGCTATGGAGGATGGAGATGCTCAGCTATGGAGGATGGAGATGCTCAGCTATAGAGGATGGAGATGCTCAGCTATAGAGGATGGAGATACTCAGCTATGGAGGATGGAGGAGGTCAGCTTTGGAGGAGCTCAGCTATGGTTAATGAAGCTCAGCTATTGAGGACATGAGTTATGGAGGATGAAAATACTCAGCTATGGAAGATACTCAGCTATGGAGGACATCGGCTATGCAGGAGCTCAGCTATGGAAGATGGACGACATCAGCTATGGAAGATAGAGATGCTCAGCTATGAAGGATGGAGATGCTCTGCTAAGGATGGAGATGCTCTTCTATGGAGGATGGAGATGCTCTGCTATGGAGGATGGAGATGCTCTGCTATGGAGGATGGAGATGCTCTGCTATGGAGGATGGAGATGCTCTGCTATGGAGGATGGAGATGCTCTGCTATGGAGGATGGAGATGCTCTGCTATGGAGGATGGAGATGCTCTGCTATGGAGGATGGAGAGATGCTCAGCTATGGAGGATGGAGATGCTCAGCTATGGAGGATGGAGATGCTCAGCTATAGAGGATGGAGATGCTCAGCTATAGAGGATGGAGATGCTCAGCTATAGAGGATGGAGATACTTAGCTATGGAGGTTGGAGGAGGTCAGCTTTGGAGGAGCTCAGCTATGGTTAATGAAGCTCAGCTATTGAGGACATGAGTTATGGAGGATGAAGATACTCAGCTATGGAAGATTAAGTTGAGCTATGGAGCATGGATAAACTCAGCTATGGAGGACATCAGCTATGAAGGAGCTCAGCTATGGAGGATGGAGATGCTCAGCTATGGAAGATGGAGATCCTTAGCTATGGAGGATGGAGCTCAGCAATGGAGGAGCTCAGCTATGGAGGTTGGAGCTCAGCTATGGAGGGCATGAGCTATGGAGGAAGGAGATACTTAGCTATGGAAGATGAAGTTCAGCTATGGAGGACATTAGCTTTGGAGGATGGAGGAGCTCAGCTACGGAGGATGGAGGACATCAGCTATGGAGGTTAGAGATACTCAGCTATGGAGGATGGAGATACTCAGCTATGGAGGATGGAGGAGCTCAGCTATGGAGGAATCTCAGCTCAGCTATGGAGGATGCACTCAGCTAAGGAGGGTAGAGAGGTTCAACTATGGAGGATGGAGCTCAGCTATGGAGTTCAATGCAGGAGCTCAGCTATGGAGGACAAAGCTCAGCTATGGAGGACAAAGCTCAACTATTGGTGCAGTCATGAAGAAATACATGAAGATTCAAGAGGAATACAGAGCTGTGCTGTGTGGCAGAGCTGTGTAGATCTCCATAATGGATTGACCAAAATACAAATCCTTGGCAGGCAAAACAGCTCGATTATATGTCATTTATGTGCCTTTAGCGGTTTGCCCAGAGCTCAGCTTTAAAGTGACTTTGTCGTGGGAAAAGTATGGCAGCTTTCTGGTTGTGTTTTATAAATGCCGGTTGCTTGGCTTCAATCCTGTTGAGTCACATTGTGTAAATGATTGTTAGAAATATGTCATTGTATCCAAGTCAGCAACTTCGGGAGAGCATTAAAAACAATACGCAGAGATGTGCCCCGCTTACTCAGCACTTCTCACAGTAATATCATGACCACGAGTCCACGTGTAGAAGGAATCCAATAGGGGAGACGACATCGGACAAACTCCTGAAGCTCCTTAGACAGGTCAGGGACGGATCTCCACACAACGTATAGGAAAGTGCACAGACCGGGGGCTGGAGTTAGTAGAACCAAATGAACACCATTTAATTAAATATAGCACACTTGTAGGTTCAAATCCTGGTGTCCACTTTTGAAGACCCAAGGGAAGGACACTGGGCAGCGGGCTGTGTAAAGTCAAGCCAATCATGGAGCAGCAAGGATACATTCAGCGTTAGAACGAGCCAAGGAACGGCGATGGCCGATGGGGTCTACGACCGGAGACTCTCTGTTTTTGCTCTGATGAAGGGAGTTCACCTCTGAAAACATGGTAGCCGGCAAGTCTGGGTGACTCCAGGGTTGTGTCCATACTCTACCTTATGAGGGTTACCCCGCCACTCGGGTCTGGTCTATAATGCTGTATGAGCCTATGGGTATCGTCACTATTCACTCATTACTGTTCCAATTCGAATAAAGTTTTATCTGGAGATGCCTTCTTTATGCGTCTTTGTTTTCAAGATTTCCTGGTCTTAGGAGGGCAGCACTGGTGGAGCGCATCAGGGTGGGACTAGAAGTAATAATTGAATGGTCTGTACTACAGCTTGGTTGGTCCTCGTGAAGTTGGAGTTTTATACTACAGGTGATGGTCAGAGACTGCAGACATAGTACAGGGAATGGTCAAAGACTGCAGACATGCTACAGGAGACGGTCAGAGACTGGCGACATGGTACAAAAGACGATCAGACACTGGCGACATGGTAGAGGGGAGACGGTCAGAGACTGGAGACATGGTACAAGAGACAGTCAGAGACTGCAGACATAGTACAGGAGACAGTCAGAGACTGCAGACATAGTACAGGAGATGGTCAGAGACTGGAGACATAGTACAGGAGATGGTCAGAGACTGCAGACATAGTACAGGAGATGGTCAGAGACTGGAGACATGTACAAGAGACAGTCACAGACTGCAGACATAGTACAGAAACGATCAGACACTGGCAACGTGGTACAGGAGACGGTCAAAGACTGCAGACATGATACAGGAGAGGAGACGGTCAGAGACTGCAGACATGATACAGGAGAGACATACGGTCAGAGAGACGGCAGACATGATACAGGAGACGGTCAGAGACTGCAGACATGACAGGAGATACAGGAGGAGATGGTCGGTCAGGAGATGGTCAGCAGACATGATACAGGAGACGGTCAGAGACTGCAGACATGGTATAGGAGACGGTTAGAGACGGCAGACATACTACAGGAGATGGTCAGAGACTGCAGACATAGTACAGGAGATGGTCAGAGACATTGCTTTTGATCTGCAGACATGGTACAGGAGATGCTCAGAGACGCAGACATAGTACAGGAGATGGTCAGAGACTGCAGACATGGTACAGGAGATGGTCAGAGACTGCAGACATGGTAGAGGAGATGGTCAGAGACTGCAGACATACTACAGGAGATGACCAGAGACTGCAGACATAGTACAGGAGATGGTCAGAGACTGCAGACATGGTTTCAGGAGATGGTCAATGAGACTGCAGACATGGTACAGGAGATGACCATCAGACTGGTACAGACATAGTACAGCTGAGATGACCAGAAAGCATGATTGACCCTCCACCATGCTTCACAGACAAGGTGTTCTTTTCATCATAGTTGTTCTTCCTCCTCCAAACAGGAGATGGGCCCAAACAGTTCTAGACAGTCCACAGAACAGACACAACTTTTGTGGTTTGTCCACATGGCTTTTGATACTGCATGGTCTTCTTATTCTTTGGAGACAGCAAGGGGGTAGCCTGGGACTGGCATGGAGGCCTTACAGGAGTATCGTTTCCTTCTTGACTGGCATGAATAAGTACTCTACGCTTGGTATAGAAAACACAGCCTACTATCCTAAGGTGTCTGAGTCTGCAGAATCCCTGGAGGTTGCACATTAAGAGAAGCCATAAGGCACCAGAGCTTTAAGGCGACATGTACAGTAAAGGATTACTGGGGAAGAGGAATGACAATATAACATACAAGATTTAAAGAGAGGGAAGCCATGTCTGCCCAGTTATACCCCCGGCCCCCTCTGTGCTGCTCTGGGCTATCACTTGTTGGCATTTAGGGTCAAGGCCAAGACCCTCAGGGCTGATTTACCATGACTACGGATGGCTGGCACAGTTCTCAGAATACCTGGCAAAGCATCTACAGGTGGATTGTTTCATTAAAGCCATTTCTTGAATGCTTTTAGGATTACACTGTAACAGAATTTAATATTGGCCCCTGACCGCAGAGTGGCCCTTCCACAGATCTCGCTGAGTACAGAAGGCCGATTCAGCCAGAATGCCATTTGCCCCAGGCCGGCTATCAGACCTGTCCATGGAACCCAGAATGTCGGGTTGTGAAATACAACTTTGTCCTTGATGGAATAGAGATCAGTTGTGTCAAAGAGCGATTCTTGTCAATAAACAGTTCTTCTCCAACAGTGCCGTATTCATTCATGGCTGGTGTGTGAGAAAGAACATCACGTTACACTATACTGATAAAAGTATCGGCCCCGCCCTCCCAATCATGTGATTCAGGTGTTCCAATCCCCTCCATGGCCAAAGAGGACGGCGATCAGCGACTTATAGCGGGACTGTGACGGACATTCTGACACTGGGGGGGACTGACTTGGTGTCACTGACATCCCCAGTGACACTAATATTGATCAGTGCTAATAAAAAGCACTGACACTGTACTAATGACACTGGGCAGGAAGGGGTTAACATGAAGGGCAATCAAAGGGTTAACTGTGTGCTGGGTGTGTTTTACTAGGGGGCGGGGTCTGTGTGCTTCACTGTAATCACACTGCTTTGGATGGCTGTGCTGTGCAGTGTGCCCGAGCTGACAGGGAGGAGGACTGTTAGGAAACAAAACAGTTCTCCTCCCCGTCGGAGATCTTCGGAAATCACCGGGCGGCGGCGAGTAATTACCGACCGGGACCCGGCGATTGACGGCCGCAAATGGCGGCGAGGGTAGGGCGCGAGTGCCCCCTACCTGGAAATGATAAATCGCGTATATGTATACATGATTTTGTGCGCCCGTGCCGCCCTTTAGCAGTATTTCTACTATAGGGTAGTCGGGAAGCGTTTGAAATGATTCTAAGCCCGGGTTCACACTGATGCGGCATGGAATTCGCAGCATTTTCTGTTGCGAATTCCACACCGCATCAGAATCGCACCCCGTTCGTGCGAACCGCTGCGGGTGTGTATGGTAAAGCTAACAGCACCCCTGAAATCGGTCCGCAAAACACGGTGCGATGCGCATAATCAGATTGCATGCGTGTGAACACCCATGCGATCTGATTCTAGTGCGGACCCAAAAAAGGGTCCTGCACATTTTTGGTGCGGGTGCGGTGTGATTTGAGCCAAAATGTACGGCTCCGAATCGCACCGCACACAAATCCGCATGTGATTCGCACAGTAATGCAGCGCGGTTCCTGCGAGAATCACATGCGATGTACCGCACCGCATGTATGTGAACCCAGCCTGAAGGCAGGGGCAGGACTGACCATTCGAGCACTTGGGCACTGCCCAAGGGCCCGGGGTCAGTAGGGGGCCCCCATGAAATGCCACTGGTACCTTTTTTATAGGCTTTTTTGAGTGTGGGCAAGGGGCCCCATGATCCCCTATTGCCCGGGGGCCCCATGAGTTGTCAGTCCACCTCTGCTTGAAGGTTCACACTTTCCTTTTTGTTAATAACAAACATGGTTTACTTACCTGCTCTGTAAAATAGTTTTGCACAGAGCAGCCCCGATTCTCTTCTTTTTGCCCCCCCCCCCCCCCCCTTCGTGGTCCTGGCTCCTCCCCCCTCCTGCCCAATTAGCAAGCCTCTTGCTATGGGGGCACTTCTTGAGCAGGCTCACTCCCAAGCTGTGCTCGCATGTTTGGGCCCTGCCCTCTCTCCTCATTGGCTCACTGGCTGTGATTGACAGCAGCCAATGGCTCCCACTGCTGTGTGAGCCAATAAAGAGGAAGAGACTCGGGAGAGCTACTGCTCTCGTGCACATTGCTAGATCGAGATGGGACTCAGGTAAGTATAAAGGGGGGGGGGGGGCTGTGGGGAAGCTGCACCCAGAAGGTTTTTTACCTTCATGCATAGAATGCAAACCTTCTGCCTTTAGAACCACTTTAAATCTCACTTCCTGCCTGGACACTGCATGGTCATGAAGGGGTTAAAGCGGGTGTGAAGACTTTTTATTTTTGTTTGGTTTTGTAGAGGATTATCCATAGAATTTTTGCCCTTGGCATCTAGTTTAGGGGATTCCCCTTCACACCTTGTCCTGTATATGCAACAGGAAGTGAGGAATCTCAACAAACCGAGGGAAATCCCCAGAACAGGTTGTCCCCATTGGAAGAGTTATCCTTTCTTCTTGGTCGGGTGACAACAGGTAACATCTGGATTTCCCCATCGCTTTCTCTCTGTGATGATGGTGACCTGAACAAATATAGAAAATCTTCCTAATGGCGACACAGACAGTGATAGAAACCTGACAGAGGTCCTGACCCCCCAAATCCAAAAACTAAAATAAAAAGTTCGAGCTATTCATACATCACTTTGTAAAGCGTTCTGTATGACGGAGGTGACAACCAGAAATATGTATACATCAGAGGGTTCCTCCGATAGAGTCATAGCATAGGTCATAGGTGCTCAACCCGTGGCCTTCCAAGTGTTGCAAAACTACAAGTCCCATCATGCCTCTGCCTTTGGGAGTCATGCTTGTAACTGTCAACCTTGCAATGCCTCATGGGACTTGTAGTTCTTACAGGGGTGTAAAACTGGCGGCCCTCCAGCTGTTGCAAAAACTACAAGTAACACGTGCCTCTGCCTTTGGGAGTCATGCTTGTAATGGTCAGCCGTGCAATGCCTCATGGGACTTGTAGTTCTTACAGGGGTGTCAAACTGGCGGCCATCCAGCTGTTGCCAAACTACAAGTCCCATCATGCCTCTGCCTTTGGAAATCATGCTTGTAACTTTCAGCCGTGCAATGCCTCATGGGACTTGTAGTTTGGCAACAGCTGGAGAGCCCCCAGTTTGACTTCTGTGCCCACAGGTTGAGCACCCATGGCGTAGGTCAAGGGTGTCAAACTGGCGGCCCTCCAGCTGTTGCAAAAACTAAAAGTAACATCATGCCTCTGCCTTTGGGAGTCAGGCTTGTAATGGTCAGCCGTGCAATGCCTCATGGGACTTGTAGTTCTGAAACACAGGGGTGTCAAACTGGTGGCCCTCCAGCTGTTGCCAAAGTACAAATCCCATCATGTCTCTGCCTTTGGGAGTCATGCTTGTAACTATCAGCCGCGCAATGTCTCATGGGACTTGTAGTTTGGCAACAGCTGGAGGGCTGCCAGTTTGACACCCCTGTGTTTCAGAACTACAAGTCCCATGAGGCATTGCACAGCTGACAGTTACAAGCATGACTCCAAAGGCAGAGGCATGATGAGACTTGCAGTTTTGCAACAGCTGGAGGGCCACCAGTTTGACACCTGTACCCACAGGTTGAGCACCCATGGCATAGGTCAGGGGTGTCAAACTGGCGGCCCCTCCAGCTGTTGCCAAACTACAAGTCCCATCGTGTCTCTGCCTTTGGGAGTCATGCTTGCAACTGTCAGCCATGCAATGCCTCATGGGACTTGTAGTTCTGAAACACAAGGGTTTCATACTGGCAGCCATCCAGCTGTAGCCAAACTAAAAGTCCCATCATGCCTCTGCCTTTGAAAGTCATTCTTGCTTGTAATTGTCAATCTTGCAATGCCTCATGGGACTTGTAGTTTGGCAACAGCTGGAGGGCCGCCAGTTTGACCCTTTGTACCCACAGGTTGAGCACCCATGGCATAGGTCAGGGGTGTCAAACTGGCGGCCCTCTTGCTGCTGCCAAACTACAAGTCCCATGAGGCATTGCAAACTTGCCAGTTACAAGCATGACTCCCAAAAGCAAAGGCATTGATGGGACTTGTAGTTTGGCAACAGCTGGAGGGCCCCATGGCATAGGTACCCTAGGACAGGTAGGACAGGTTGAGCACTTTGTGGATACAGCATAGGTACTTGTAAAGGTTGAGCACCCACAAAGGTACTTGTATACGTGCGATACACAGTAGATAAATTATAAAGTTCTATGTAACCGTAAAATATTCAGTAAATGTAATCTGCAAACACGGAAAGGTTTCTTCACAGTAAGAGCTGTGAGAATGTGGAATAGACTCCCTCAAGAGTTGGTTGTAGACCGCTCAGTGGATTGCTGTAGGAAAGTCCTGGATTCTTTCTTGGATACACAGAATATAACTGGACATAACATTTATAGGGAAAGTTGATCCAGGGAATATCCGATTGCCTCTCGGGGGATCAGGAAGGAATAGTTTTTCTCTGCAGGAGCAGATTGGATCGTGCTTTGCCGGGTTTTTTGCCTTCCTCTGGATCAATTGTTTTTTTTTTTAAGGCTTGATTCACATATGTGCTGGTGGTGCCGCTGCGGATCCGCACGAAAATCCGTGCCGCCCGCACAGAGGAATTGCCATTAGCCCTAACGGCACGCCGCCCGCACTGGAAAACGCAACCGTACTGCCGGCGGTTGCCTTCCTCTGG